TTAGCTCAAAGATTACCCAAGTGCCGATCGCATATTATTATACCCTAGCCCAGTGTGCATGCGCAGAAAGGGTATAATAGTTCCTCCTGTTTTAGGAACTGGCCAGACTTGAATTTATAAACTAGCTCTTGCCAGTGCACGAAAAGATCAACTTTATTGCAAAACATCGATTAATCGCCTCGTTTCTATGACATCGATAAGTATCGATATATATCGAAAGTGCATTCTTAAAGCTAGAGCTTTGATTATTTGATAACGGACGTCTAGTATTTTAACAACAACAGCGTATCTTCTAATCGGGCATACCCGAATCGAGCACTCTTAGTTGTTTTTCAAATGTGGTTTACAGATCTGATTCGCACTCACCATTTTGTAAGCCTTTGACTGGGTTTATTTTTCTTTTAACTGACTGCTGTCTGTGGCCAAAACTCCGCCGGGTTCTGCAAACTGTGCCAAAATGTTTGCGAAACTTCTGGCCCAGCCGCTTATATAGTCCCCTTTACAAGCCAACAGTGGTGTTGGAGGGGAGGGGGTGGGGAGTGGTTGTTGCGGTCTTCTTTTTGCATAAAACGCGGCTGCTGAAGCTGATTACAAAGCGCCCTCAAGACAACTGTATAAATTAGATACATCTCTCTGTCTCTCTGTGTGTGTGCGTGTGTGTGTGTGTGTGTGTGTGCGTCTGTCATATGATTATGATTATGACTATGATTACGGTTATGTGGCACGTTGATTAGAATGCGCGCTTATCACTTGTTGCCGCTGTGTTTTAATGCTCATGGCAACTATTTTGTTCTTCTTCATCTCAATGCAATTGGCCGGACGATGACAGCTTCAGGCACAAAGGATGTCATTAGTTCAATAGCGTCAGCAAGGACGATTCATTATGCACATCGATATGCGCTTATTGAAAGGCGCGTAGGATGTGCCATCGATAGCCTTTCACTTTCCAAGCAGCGGGTTATCCGACAGAGATGCTCAGCTTAGCGGGAAACAAGCTAAATCAGCCAGCTGTAACTGTAACTAGCTGCTAAAGGATAGATAAACTCAATTTTGGCACTGATCCGGCAGTTGAAGTTGATTAACAATTTTTAATAATCGACTTTATTACTTAATTTGTAATTATTATACCCTGAACCCATTAAAAATGGGTATAAGGGTATATTGTAAAAAAAAGTTATATGCAACTGCGCAATTGAATACAGCAGCATCTTTAAGAATTTCTGTACCAAAATCGACAAAATGGCAAGGGGTTACATCACGTTTTTTTTCAAAATCGAGGTCGGTGCGAAAATCGAAAGAAGATATGACGTTCCAAAACGACATAACTCCGCGCGGAGATATGACGTTCCAAAACGACATAACTCCGCGCGGAGATATGACGTTACAAAACGACATAATTCCGCGCGGAGATATGACGTTCCAAAACGACATAGCTCCGCGCGGAGATAAGACGTTCCAAAACGACATAACTCCGCGCGGAGATATGACTTTCCAAAACGACATAACTTAGCGCGGAGATAAGACGTTCCAAAACGACATAACTCCGCGCGGAGATATGACGTTCCAAAACGACATAACTTCGCGCGGAGATATGACGTTCCAAAACGACATAACTTCGCGTGGAGATATGACGTTCCAAAACGACATAACTCCGCGAGGAGATATGACTTTCCAAAACGACATAACTCCGCGCGGAGATATGACGTTACAAAACGACATAACTCCGCGAAGAGATATGACTTTCCAAAACGACATAACTCCGCGCGGAGATATGACGTTCCAAAACGACATAATTCCGCGCGGAGATATGACGTTCCAAAACGACATAACTCCGCGCGGAGATATGACGTTCCAAAACGACATAACTCCGCGCGGAGATATGACGTTACAAAACGACATAATTCCGCGCGGAGATATGACGTTCCAAAACGACATAGCTCCGCGCGGAGATAAGACGTTCCAAAACGACATAACTCCGCGCGGAGATATGACTTTCCAAAACGACATAACTTAGCGCGGAGATAAGACGTTCCAAAACGACATAACTCCGCGCGGAGATATGACGTTCCAAAACGACATAACTCCGCGAAGAGATATGACTTTCCAAAACGACATAACTCCGCGCGGAGATATGACGTTCCAAAACGACATAATTCCGCGCGGAAATATGACGTTCCAAAACGACATAACTTCGCGCGGAGATATGACGTTCCAAAACGACATAACTCCGCGCGGAGATATGACGTTCCAAAACGACATAACTCCGCGAAGAGATATGACTTTCCAAAACGACATAACTTCGCGCGGAGATATGACGTTCCAAACCGACATAACTCCGCGCGGAGATATGACGTTCCAAAACGACATAACTCCGCGCGGAGATATGACGTTCCAAAACGACATAACTCCGCGCGAGAAATGAGATGTGACCTTCCAAATCATCACGTTTTTTTCAAAATCGAGGTTCCAAATCATAATTTCGGGTAAATAATGTCTGATTGTCAAATGTTATACCTTTTTGAATGCGTACGGATCCCTACCGTCAATTGGCATTCAATCAAATTAAACATCGTTTTATTAAAAGAAATGTAGACAAAAAACCGATTCGTTCGTAAATTCCATCTTTTTGATGATGTTTTGGAATATTTCCGTCAAATAATGTCCGATTTTGGAATTTTATACCATTTTTGACTTGTAAGGATCAGTTCTATCGATTGGCATGAAAAAAAAGGAAATCCAAAAATTTGACACAAATCGGCAAAATGGCAAAACAGAGGTCGGTGAGAAAATTTAAACTTTTTCGAGGTTTTTTTTTAATATCTCGGGTAATAGCTCCGCGAGGAGATATGACTTTCCAAAACGACATAACTCCGCGCGGAGATATGACGTTCCAAAACGACATAACTCCGCGCGGAGATATGACGTTCCAAAACGACATAACTCCGCGAGGAGATATGACGTTCCAAAACGACATAACTCCGCGCGGAGATAAGACGTTCCAAAACGACATAACTCCACGCGAGATATGACGGTTGAAAAATGTTGTTGACAAAAAACCGATTCGTTCGTAAATTCCATCTTTTTGATGATCTTATGGAATATTTCCGTCAAATAATGTCCGATTTTGGAATTATATACCATTTTTGACTCGTAGGGATCAGTTTTATCGATTGGCATCAAAAAAGGAAATCCAAATTTTTGACCCAAATCGACAAAATAGCAAGGGGTAACATCACTTTTTTTTTCAAATCGAGGTCGGTGCGAAAATCGAAAGAAGATATGACGTTCCAAAACGACATAACTTCACCACATAGCTCCTCCGAGATATGACGGTTGAAAAATGTTGTTGACAAAAAACCTATTCGTTCGTAAATTCCATCTTTTTGATGATCTTTTGGAATATTTCCGTCAAATGTCCGATTTTGGAATTTTATACCATTTTTGACTCGTTGAAAAATGTTGTTGACAAAAAACCGATTAGCGAAAAATATGTCGTTTTGGAACGTCATAACTCCGCGCGGAGATATGACGTTCCAAAACGACATAACTCCACGCGAAATATAACCTTCCAGGTCAGGTCAGGTCAGGTTTATTTTCAAAATCCAGGTTCCGTTGAAAAATGTTATTGACAAAAAACCGATTCGGCATCAAAAAAAGGAAATCCAAATTTTTGACCCAAATCGACAAAATAGCAAGGGGTAACATCACTTTTTTTTCAAAATCGAGGTCGGTGCGAAAATCTAAAGAAGATATGACGTTCCAAAACGACATAACTCCGCGAGGAGATATGAAGTTCCAAAACGACATAACTCCGCGAGGAGATATGACGTTCCAAAACGACATAACTCCGCGAGGAGATATTACTTTCGGAATGATCACGTTATAACTCGTGCGGAACATATATATTTTAGATGTAGGTGCCTGCGCGGATCGAGTTTGTTTCCGATAATCGATAACTTACTCCGTTTCCAAGCAATCGATTAAAATCGATATCGATATCCTGTTTTTTGGGCAATTTTGGTAAATAATAAGAGCTAGAGTCACGAAACATGATATGTTGCTTCTAAAATAGAAATATATATATGCATTTGATGTTGTAAGAAGAGGGACAAGGGTATCCCCTAGTCGGGAGCTCCCGACTAGAACCTCTTGATTTTATTTCATTTAATTTTTTATTTTTAATTATTAATGTTCCTATGATAACATAAATACGTTTAGCGCATTATAGATCGTCTTATTCTAGTTAAACTTATTAGCTGCAACTAAAATTTGCCAAAAAACTTATTTTTGCCATGATGCCCATGCCCATGCCCATGACCGTGTCCATGACCATGCCCACCGCCGCCGCCCACAATAACGGGCTTGACCACAACAATGGGCTTCACAACGACGGGCTTGACAAACGTCGGCTTTGACTTGACAAATTTCGCGGACAGTTCGCCGAAAAGCTGGTCGGGATTCGGCAAATAGCTGGGCTTCTGCAAAGCGAAGGCGCCGCCTTTGAACTTGTCGTGTGTGGGCGTGGCCAGGGCAGCGGCCACAATGGCCAGAAGCAGCAGATAACACTTGAGCAGCTCCATGGCTAGAGTGCGGCACTTAATCCCGCCGCCGGACTATTTATGGTGAGCCACGCGCAGCAAGAAAAGCCTCATTGGCATGCAGGAATCGTCGCGGTTTTTCGCGCACTTTTATTCAAATTCATTCTTAACGCTCGCAACTTCTAAAGCACGGAGAATCACATGGTTGTTGGTGGCTGTTGCTGCTGCTGCTGCTGCTGCTGCTGAGAATTCCCCCAGTTGTAAGTTGAATTAACAATTATGTCGCGATACTGCGTAACATTATTCAATGATCGCTGCCGGGCCACATTCAGTTGTCATTCAGTCGGCGATTCTCTAGACTCGCGAGCAGAGAAATGACGTCGTCTTTGGCTGAGAGCACTTGACTCGCATTTCGAATGATTTCAATTCATATCTCATGGCGATTGCGGAAGTCGAAATGCATTTTCAACATATTTTCATGCGAATGTTTTATAAATAAATTTAAATTCCAGGCTTACATTTTGTAATTAACGCTTAAATACCATGCCCAATATTTTTTTAAACTAAATAATTGTGAGCATTTACAACACTGGCTGGAACGAACCGTTGCGAAATGAAACGCGCTGGCGTATGTATGTCTATGTTTGCATGTATGTATGTATTTGTGTGTAAATCACATTTTAGTTGTTCTTGCCTTGGCTTATTTCCTGAAAACGCTTTCGCTCGAGTTCGCGAAAAACGCGCCGCGAGGCCGGCGGCGCACCGACTATGCTGCGTATTACGAGATTCTGCTCACAGTAGGCTCTCGGATCGTAGGTTGCCACCGGTGGCTCATCATCCCAGTTCTCGGAGGACTCCACCAAGGGGACGGGCGAGGCGAGTGGCTCTTTGGGCGGCAGCACATCGGGATTTTGAAATCTCTCAAAGTCAATTCGGCTCGAACAGTTCTTAATATGCGACTATCGTACAAAATGGTAATACTTTTTCAAAATATTTTGTTGTGGCAAACGGTGCTACCTTCACTTACGTTCATGTCGGAGCTGTGCACCACATGGGTGGTATTGAAGGGGCAGCGTATCATATTGCTGCCGGGATGGTTGCGAGCGCATCTGGTCAAGTGCCAGGATAAACGGCTGCGCAGTATGCGATGCCCGGCGTCATAAGGACACTTTATATATGTGTCCACGGGTGGCTTCAACTCGACAGCTATTTGGGCGGTGGGCGACGAGGGGGAGCTCGATTCTTTGGGATCGTTGCGTTCAGTGGACATTTTTGGCGCTATAAATTCCTAGTTTTTAACTAGCTGAAATGCCTGTGAAATTGTTTACTACATTTTAATGTTTATGCATATCATAAAATACTTACAATTATTTAATAATCAGCCAAGCTTGTGCTGCGATACGCTTGACAGTCCGGCTAACATATAGTTAAAATGTTAATAACAGCAAACCGCGGCGCGCTGTTAAAAGAAATTGCCGTTAACTCTTTCTGTTAAGTGAGCAAAATTGAAGGCGTATTTTTTGTATATGAATTTAAGGATCAATACAATAATAATCAATACAAATACAAAACTGAAAAGGTTTTGATGGAAGTTATATTCCAGTTTTAGGAGGAGCTCTTTACACTCTGACGATAGAGAAACGAAATGGCCTTAATCTTATTAAATCGTAGGTACAACAGCTGAGACAAAGCTTATGATTTATAAATCAAGGCTTATGTTGTTTTAACCTTAATAATTTAACAATGTTATATTTCCTAAAACGCAACTTGGCAGAAGAGAGAATATTCTTAATATATAGACAATGCAGGCTAGAAATGTGAGCAATATTGAATTTGGCATCAAACATCAATTGAAGCGAATATATACTTAAGCTATATATTTAAGATAATTTTCATTAAATAATAATTGTTATTATTAAAAACAAAATTAGGGACTTTGCAACGTGTAACTCGTCGCGTTTGAATTTTCGCTAAGGCGGGGACTCGTTACTCGTTACTTGGCACTCGTTTTGCAATGTAACGAGTACTTAAGAGTCGCCCTGGAACTATGAACCAGTGTTCATGAACGGAAAAATAATAGTTTTTTTTTGCTGTTTATTTATTTAAAAGAGAAATGGACAATAGCGTTATAGAAATTAACGATTCTATCATAACAATTGACAGCGATGCCGACGTAGAAGACGGAGAAGTGAGGGAAGTCGAAGAAAATGCCGTAAACATTGCCGCCAAAGAACAACCGCCCCCGTCCCCCGGTGTAGAGGGAACGAACGACCAAGTACAGTATCGAGAAAAACAATAAAAATATTCATTTTCTATTAAAGTGAATTATAACCAAGCAGAAATCAATTACACCGGAAGGCCTGATATTCGAGGTGAACTTTACGCAAAAGGATGACTTCGAGAGGCTGCAAGAGCGCCTGGTCAAGGCGCTAAGCGCAACATTTGCCGGCGAGGAATTTGTGTACACAACAAAGGACACGAGCATAAGCGTACATCGGAGAGCGATAAGCCCCGAACCGGAATGCGATATATTTCAAATAGACACTTCGCCGGCGACAAAGCTAAATGCAGCCCAAGTGCCGTCCTACAAGCGCTGTCACACCGAGGTGCTGGACGAGGGCACGTTGGCGCGCAAGAAACTGAAGCTCGAGGCGGTTAACAAGTGCTTCCGGCCCAAGGTGCAGTCCGCGTGCTTCAATTGCGGCGGCGTTGAGCATTCGCTGCGTGAGTGCACGCGGCCGCGCAACCAGGCGCGGATACAGCGCGCCCGCAAGAAGAACAGCCGGGCGGAACGCTACCATGTGGACACGGAGCAGCGTTTCGCACACATACGACCCGGCCGCATAAGCAGTAAAACGCGTCATGCCATGGGCTACAGTCGGGGCGAGTTGCCGTTCATGTTTTACCGGATGCGTGTCCTGGGCTATCCACCAGCCTGGCTCGAGGAGGCCAAGGTGCAAAGCTCGGGCATAGCGCTGTTCAATGCGGATGTGAGTATGGGATATATCTAATCTACCATTTGGCTTAGGCTTAACATTGTTACAATTTCAGGGCAGCGAGGTGCAGGGGCCGGAGGAAGAGATGGGCGAAACGGACAGCTTCAAATATGATGTCAATAAAATAATCGACTTTCCCGGCTTTAACGCGCAGCCGGGTTCCAAGTTCTACGATGTAAATATCTGGCATGTGCCACAGCAAGCAAATAACAGTAAAACTAATCATGAAATCTTCAGGACTTTCAACATCACAATGTGCCACCTTTTCAGGAGCACCAGCTAAAGGAGAACTTCATCAAATCGCTAGGCGAAAACGTGACCAAGGCCTATAAGCGTAAGAAATTGGTGGACTTGCCCACGCCACATGATGCTAGTCCCACGTTGCTGGAAAGCGACACAAATCTGGTTGAGCACGACATGGAGCTGGACGATGATGAGACGGAGGGGCTGGCTATGCAGCCACCTTTGCCCGCAGAGCCAAGCAAAGCGACGACGCCGCCACCGCCACCAGCGCAAGATACGAGCATACGCAGTCCATCGCCCACACTGGAGGATCTGAAGGCGCAGCAGGACCAATTGCTCGAGCAGCTCGAATCGAATACTTCATTCAACACAAGTGAAGTCGAGCTGCCGCATGTGCCTCAAACAGAAGAAAAGGAAACGGCGGCGCCTGCTACTCCCGTCGAATCCAGTCAGCCCAACATCTTTAAGGCGCCATCCATAGCTGGCACGCCGATATTGAAATTTTCCGTCTATGACAAGCTGCCCGTGGGCGATAACTTTAAGGTGGGCGTCAGCGATGTGATTAACTTTGAGAATCTGCCCGATTCCACGGGCAAATACGAGCAAATGAAGGATCTGCTGAAGAACGTGCGCCAAAAGATGGAGAAGCTGCAAAACGAGGACAATTGAGCCGGAACGAGCTTATTATTTGTAAATACATAAACCGGACATGGCTTTTAATTAGCGACAAGTGCAGAGATTGGTTTTTGATTTGCCAATTTTAATGCTAAATTGCGCATATACAAAATCATGCCAATATACATTAAAAAATATATATGTGCATGTAGTATGTGATTAAGTTTGTACAAAAAATGATATTGATTAAACAAGAGTTGGTATCAATTGAGCTAATAATTTATGGCCGAAACGCACACACGCACACACACGCACGTACATTGATCAGCTTTTCGTTTTGCTTTTGCTTTCATTGCATTAATTTATTTTTGTCTTCCAATATAAATATATATATATATATATTGTGGCAAGTTTAGCCTATACATACATACATATATGTACATATATAAATATTTATATATATAACCGTTTGTGTATGTAGCTATAACCAAAGGAAAATGCAAGCTCTAATCATGTCCAGCGGCAGCTCAATTGATCGCCGGAGGTGGCTGCGGCGGTGGCGCACCATCCGGATTGTTATCACGTCGACTGGGCTTATTGTTGGAGAACTGGCGCCAAACGCTCGGATTCACCACATACATAAACATGGCCAGCAGCATGAATACCATGGCTATGGTGAAGCTTCCGCCGGTGTCGCCGCCGCCAATCGCCGGCTGAGCTACGCGTCCGCTGACTGAAGATCCGGAGAGTTAATCATCAACATGTTTAATCGCCAAACGGAAAATTCCACTTACCATCAATGCACTCGGTATCTGTGCAGGCATTCTGATTTTGGCGTATCTATCAGTACAAATATTATATAGATATAGATATATATATATATATATACATTAGATTTGTGGCTCAACTTACAAAGTTGAGGAGCCTTTGCATGGCCAACTCATGGGACCAAATGCATTCGCAGCCATCGAATTCGTCAGCCATGTTGGGAGCTCCTGTTTTATTTTCTGGTTATTTGTAACTGGCGATGCAAATAGTCTAAAAAATATTATATATATGTATAAAAAAAAACAAAAATAAAGTGCTCTATGCTTATGTATATATTTGAAAAATATATGAACAACAGTGACTATTATTGGCAATTTTGACTGACGTGGCGTTATAAATTGACGTAGAGCGTACGAAACACGACTGGTAAATATCAAAATGTGAGTAAAACTGTTTTCTAACTGAAAATGTGCTCAACTGAAACGAATTTTGTTTTCTTTCTTTTCATCGCTTTTTTTTTTTTTTTTTTGCCAGCGAAACAAAACGCTGGAAATGATTAGAACTTGAACGTAAACTCTACGCAGTGCAGATAGAAGACTGATAATAACTGTATTTATAATTGCTACATACAGTCGGTGATACAGTGAAGACTTTGCTAAAGGACACACTTTCTTGAGAAACGAAAATGGTTTTTGAGTATTTTATATGTTTTACATTGCGCGCGAAAATAAACCGTTTTCAAGACATACGTCATTTACAATTTAACCGTTATCAATGTGTGTTCACTTTAGCGAGTTGCCACTTGGTGCCTGATAAAGTCGACGAGAGAGCCGCAGCTTATACGCCACAATTTTAAATAGCTTAACAATTTTCAAGCATCGCCCATGTGTGTGCGTGTGTGTGTGTGTGACATACATATATGTTTGAGTTTGTGTATGCTTGTGTTAGTATGCCGCAAGAGTAGAAGTGGAATTGTTCTGACGAAGCTTTACTTCCAATACACACGACCGACCTTGATAGAACGCCTACAAAATAGATTACAAATATGAGCACTTAATTTAAAATTTAGTTGATATACTAAGAAAAACCACTAATTGATTACACGTACATACGTTTGTTTGTTTGTTTGTGTAACAAGTGCAGTTGATTCGACTTGTGAGCAGCTTTCACACACACACACACACACATATGCATGTACATATATGCAACTGCTGGCATCTACATATGTACGTAATTACAAACGCGAGACCAATTAAATGTTACGCCAAATCACATACATATATATATATATATATGTACATATTGATATTATTCACATTCATATACATATATACATATGCGTGATGGCAGTTTGGAAAATTGCAAACATGAAGTCACTTTCATATTTGATTGTTTTGCTTTTTATATTTGGGTCCCTTCCAATGGAAATTATGCAGCGGACGTAAACAAAGTGCATGAGCTATGTTTTTATGATGCCTGCCACAGCTAAAATTACGTACATTTTGCTTAGTTGTACAGCTATTACTTATATTATAGTTTTGATTGTTAATTTACATTTGTTTTTTTATGTTTAACGCTCTGTTTATTATTTTAGATTAGACTATTTATTTTCTTACCAATTGGAAATGGAATGAGCGACTGGAACACACATATGGTAGTGTTGGTTAACGTCTGCCACTGAAATGCACTAAAAAATGTCACTGCCAGCACTGCAACATTGGTGTATATGTATTTTTTGTACCGCACTTTTATTTGTTTTTTAAATATCATGGTTTGATTTATTCCGTATGCGACTCAAGCCGAGTCGTCGGGTTTTAGTTGTAGGCGCATAGATGGGTGACAGCGCCTCTTCACTCTTACGCTTACCCACACGTTCCCTGTGCACGCGTGGCGATTCCTGCGAGCAGCTCCGATCGCGCATTACGCGCTGTGATTCCCCCTCCACATTGTCCTTGCGACTGGGCATGGGCGTGCTTGTTGACGCTGCCATTGGAGCAAATCGTCTAATCGGCGTGCGGCCAGCATCCGCACTGCAGTTATCTGCATCCCGCTTCTGTTTTCGTCGCTTATTCAGGGACAACAGATTCCGGCGCGTAATTATCGAGCTCTTTGTCGCTTTGTCCAGGGGCGAACGCTCCGAGAGCTGTGTCAGCGAGGACTGCAGCTCTGGCGTGCATTTGGGCGTCTCGAATGGCACATTCAAGGTTTCCGAGTTCTTCTGTGTGACTAGCTGCGGCTGCTGTGGCGTTGCTGTTATCTGACCCATCCTGGTTTCAGGCTCCAATGGCACGATTCCATCGAAAAATTCACATGTTGGCTCAGGAATTCGTTTTTCTGATTCTATATCCTCTGCTGTGATAAGTTTTCTAGACTTGTCAACAGATTCTGAGATGTTTCCCGACGCACACTTCTTAAGCTTAATCTTAGCCAAGTGCTCCTTTTCCTCCTCCTGTTGACCAAATTCCAAATCGGCCATCAACATTGCTGCTCTTTGCCGCATCTCGTCCGTCAATTTCACGATCTTATTGGATGCAGTGCGAAATTCGATATTTTGATTCGCTTCTGAACCGTCAATTGCACTTCTCTGAACTTTATCCAACTGCTCCTTTGTTGTCTCTTGGGAACTTAAATTTCCGGTTTCCAAATCAGCCATCAACATTGCTGCCCTTTGCCGCATCTCGTCCGTTAACTTCACGATCTTATTGGATGCAGTGCGAAATTCGACTTCAGAATCAAGATTTCTATCACTTCTATCTGCTCCCATTTGCTGGGAGTAGCTGGCTTCTATGTCGGCCATCAGCTTGGCAGCTTGTTTCTGTTGCTCCTCAGAAACTTCGATTGCCTTGTTTGAAGCAGTGCGAAATTGAACGGCATCCGGAATATCCATAGGCTGCCATTCACTGAATGGTATCATATCCAACTGGCTACAAACGTAGCTCTCGGCAGGTGTCTGGTTGCTGTCTGGTATGTCCATGGGCTGCCATTCGCTTAAAGGAATCCCATCGAGCATTTCACAGTCCGTAGTTACTTCCTCTCTCTTTGAAGTGTTCATGTCCAATTCAGTTTTTGGAATTTGTTTTGGCGCTTTGAGGGTTTTATTTGGCGCTGAATGATAGCCGGGCATCCTATCCATTTGTAGCTCTTGCAACTCTGGTGGATTCCCAACAACTGTTTCCAAGTCAGCCATCAACATAGCTGCTTTTCTGCGCATCTCTTCGGTTATTTGCATGGTCTTGTTTGATGCAGTGCGGAATTGAATAGCAGCAGAGTCTCTGCCGTTAACGACCTCGCTTGGTTTCTGGATGTAGCTCGCTTCCAAATCAGCCATTAATTTGCCAGCTTCCTTTTGGTGCTGCTCAGAAACTTTTATTGGTTTGCTTGAAGCAGTTCGAAACTCAGTGACATCTGGTTGCCACTCGCTGAATGCAATCAATTCCGGCTGCTTGCAATCAGTTGCTTGCAATTGCTTCTGTTCCAAGGCAGAGTTTCTATTTGTACTTGCTTTCGATACTTTATTAGTTGAATGTGCAATGTCCATGGGCTGCCATTCACTGAAAGGAATTCCCTCCAGCAATTCAGTTTCCGTGGTCTCATTAGTTTGTGTTTTATCCAAAGGCACTTTTAGCTTTTGCGTAACGAAATCAGCTTTGAACCAATCCCCACACAAATTTGCCTCTATAAAATAGTAATATTATAACTATAGATATAAATGGAAACTATATAGCACACACCTTGAGATTGTCCAGCCTTAAGCGGAGTTTTCCTTGTCAGCAAGCGAGAACGCTCGCTAAACAGTGAAAACTCAGGTTCATCTGTAAAGAGGAGACATTATAGTTAAAGCAGCTGAGTAAATGATTAATAAGAGACTTGCCCGCTATTTTAATATCACAGTTTTCATCAAGCAATTTGCATTGCTCCGTGCTGCCGAGAAAGTAGCCCATATCCTCCACAACATCTGTTGCATCTTCTTGCTCGTAATCATTAGCTTCTATTGCTAGACAACTTTTGGGATCTATATCGGGCAAATCAATTGATTTGTTAACATTGTTTTGCGAGAAGAATGCACTCAAATTGAGAAGGTTTTCACAGATCTTCTGTGAGCTATTCACATCGAAGTTGCAGTGCGTCGTCGTCGGCACTTGGGTGGTATTATCCTCTTGCACAGATAGCTCCGAGGAGCAACTCAAGCGATCCTCATCATCAGCTGTGGTTGCTGCAATTGCTGTCGGGCGCTTGTGACCAAAGGTTTTAATTTTCTTGCCACGAAAACGAAACCACGGCGAATCATCATCTGTGGGCAGCTGCTCCTCCACATATGTGGGCGACGAACAGAAATCACGGAGTATTTCCACCACAATGCTGCTTGGTTTACTTAGCAGCTGTTCTGTTGCTTCTGGCTCTGGCAAGGCTTGCTCAATGAGCATATCCTGGCTCTCCAACATGGACTGCAGCGAGTGGAAGTTCTGTGAGGCAGGCACGGCACGTACCCGCAATGGCTCTTGTTGGGCACGCAGGCAGTCCAAGCGGTCGGCTTCAAAGAGCTGTTCTTCGTGCAGCTCCCAGGCACTCACTGAGTCCTGGCATGACTGAGTCCCACATGGCCATTGTGTTGCCGGCGCCCGCTTGGTCTGGCTGTCGTAGTTTTCTTGTACTGTACGAGTTTTTCTTCTAAGTAGGCGTTCGGAGCGCTTGGAACAACTGTGTCTTGACTTCGTTGGACTTGCATCTATGCTGTAGTCATCATCATCATCATCTTCCATGTTCAACAGACAAATCCATGCCCAAATTCTAGTTGCCGACGTGTTTGCCGCTCTGTTTATATAAAATCTACAGTTATCGATAAATATTGTTAGCGCTGTCGATTAAAATTAAAGTTGCCACCTGCTTAAACTATTGTTTACCAAAATATGTATCTTTTATATGAGGGATATCTTAGTTTAATTTTTTTTATTCAAATGTAATTTAAATGCAGTATTTAACACATTCTATTTAAAATTAAACAATTAATAAGCGTAATATGAAATTTGAAAATTAAAAAAGGATACCATTTTATATAAATAAAATACCAGTTTTGTTATTTTATCGCACATATGGCAACTATGGCTATAACTGTCAGCATTGTCCAGCACTGTTTGCCAGCCATATCGATAATATTTATTAGTTTGTCCGATTTCTTATTGCAATAAAGTCATTGTTTGCGTTAAGATCCTAGATAATGGGCATATCTACGGCGGTGCTGCGTACCCAGTTGATGGGCTTGACCAACTTCATTGGTACGCACAAGGACCAAGCGGACAAGTACCGCCAGCTGCTAAAGAGTGTCCTAGCAAACACCGGCCCCGAATTGATCGATACACTGAAACTCTTTGTGGAGGCCATTGTCAACGAGCATGTTAGCCTAGTCATAGCTCGTCAGATACTGAACGATGTCGGCGTCGAGCTGAGCAAACTGCCCGACGACATGTCCAAGCAGCTGTCCCATTTCACACTGGAGAAGGTGCACCCACGCGTCATATCGTTTGAGGAGCAAGTGGCCGGCATCCGTTTCCATTTGGCCAATATATACGAGCGTAATCAACAGTGGCGCGATGCAGCCACCGTTTTGGTTGGCATTCCCCTCGAGACGGGCCAGAAACAATACTCCGTGGAATGCAAGTTGGGCACATACTTGAAAATAGCACGCCTCTATCTGGAGGACAATGATTCGGTTCAGGCCGAGCTGTTCATTAATCGTGCCTCGCTCCTCCAGGCAGAAACAAACTCCGAAGAATTGCAGGTAATATCCTTATTTAAACCAAGTTTTCACATATTCTTATCTGTTGTCCGGCCTGTAGGTTCTGTACAAAGTGTGCTATGCCCGCGTCCTCGACTACCGCCGCAAATTCATTGAGGCTGCCCAACGCTACAACGAACTGTCCTACCGCAAAATAGTGGACCAGGGCGAGCGGATGACAGCACTGAAGAAGGCGTTGATCTGCACGGTGCTCGCCTCGGCTGGGCAGCAGCGCTCCCGCATGCTGGCCACGCTCTTCAAGGATGAACGCTGCCAGCATTTGCCAGCCTATGGCATACTGGAGAAGATGTACTTGGAGCGCATTATACGTCGCTCGGAGCTGCAGGAGTTTGAGGCATTGCTGATGGACCATCAAAAGGCTGCCACACCGGATGGCTCTTCCATATTGGATCGCGCTGTCTTTGAGCATAATTTGTTGTCCGCCAGTAAATTGTACAATAACATAACATTCGAGGAACTCGGCGCCCTGTTGGACATACCCGCTGCCAAGGCGGAGAAGATCGCCTCGCAAATGATTACCGAGGGACGCATGAACGGGCACATTGACCAAATCTCGGGTATTGTGCACTTTGAGAATCGTGAACTGCTGCCCCAATGGGATCGTCAAATTCAATCGCTGTGCTATCAAGTTAATTCCATTATAGAGAAAATCGGCGTGGCCGAGCCGGATTGGCTAGATCAACAGAACTGAGCATGCGAGGCGGGCAGACTGCGTCATACAAAACTTTACTGAAATTCTCATCCTGATCTGGGAAAGTTCAATGTTTTACATTTAATTTTACACTTGCCGCCGCCGAGTTCCATGTGTAAATTTCATTTTGAATTTAAGAAATAAATG